GGGGTGGCGGGGTTGGGGCAGGGCCGGGGTTGTTTTTGCGGGGGCGGGGGTCGGGTAGCCCCGCGGCGGGGTTCCGGGGTTGAAACCCCTACCCCAGCTTGGGCCCCGGGGATCCCCGCGTGACAACGCTGGTTGAAATTCCCAAAATTTTACGTTTTCCAAAAATTCGAGTGTTTTTCTTCCTAATTATCCGAATTTTTTTTGGCAACACAGTTCGGAATCGTGCCCTCAGAATTGCAACTTCCGGGTAGTTCACTAATCAACAGTGAACTCCCGGACCATAGATGATCTCAACGAATACCTAATCTTTCCACAACTTAAAATTCATTAATTATCATTATTGCAGTTATTGTTTTATTGATTATTATTAAGAAGTATGAATTCGTTATTAATCATTAATTAAACTTTATTGATTATTAATTTGTTATTATTTTCTTATTACGAATTTTTGAGTTGTTTTCGGGGAAAGTTTATCTTTTTCTGTTTGATTAGGTGTCTAAGTTCATCATTGGGACAGGGACTGTATGCGAATTGCTTGATCTGTTCTACCCCTGTACCCATCCTCTCCCTCTCACTGTTTTGCGACCATTCGGACGAGCCAGCCTTCAACAGCAGTTTTCTGATGCCAGCAGGGCAAGCCACCGAACAGCGGCCACGACGCAGCAAGAGGATCGCAAATCGTCAACAGCAACAGCAACCTGCAGTTCGACAACAGCCACAGACCAGCACTTAGATGGCGATCACGCCGAACAGCGGAACATCATCCGAGACTTCGACATCTAGCAATGTCGAACCATTGCCGATCTGTCCTGCTCAAGGGCCGAATGAGTCCATCACGGACTACATTCAGAGAGTGAAGACCTACACGGACGCACTCACCCTTGCCAAGGAACGACAAGATGTTGCCGAAGCAGAAAAACAATGGTTGGCAGTAGAAGCTGCAGCCCAAGCCCAGCGACAAGCTGAGGCGGAGCAGTTGGCGGTCGACAAGCTCAACGCCGACAGTGCCAACCTTTTGATCTCTCAACACGATCAGTGGGCAGCTGTGCTCAACGGGATGCGTTATGTTCCCGTAGCAGGCGCCAAGCCAACGACAGTACAGCAGGAGAGACAAAACCTGGCAGACATTTTACTATGCACGATGCGTGCAGTTATCTGGAACAGCACCATGGGGGACCTTCATTCCAGGTCTACACGACAGCTGCAGCATGATCTTAGCCATAACGTGAAGACACTGGCAGCAACCGTCAAGGTCGCGGACTCCCAGCTGCAACAGATGGACAGCCGCATTGCTGCTCTGGAGGCAAGACCCTCCCAAGCAGTGTCGGGCTGCACGACAGACACGGCGAAACAGCTCAACGAGCGCATCGACCATGTCGTCAATCTCATCGGCGAACTAGGTGATTTCACAAGTCCGGCCACGATCAGCAGCACGGTGGCCGCCATCAAGACGGACATCACCAAACTGCAGATAAGACCGGACGCCGCTACAAAGAACTACAAGATGCCGCACTTCAACATCAGCAAGTTTGACGACTACAACAAGACAGACGCCTTGACATGGTGGCAAGGTTTCCTCACGGAAGCATCCTGCCGCACTGTCCCGGCTAAAGACATGATGAAGGCGCTCTACCTCCAACTGATTGGAGGAGCACAGGCATGGATGAACCATCTTGCGGCTACCATGAAATGCACCATTGCTGAACTCCACAAGCACATTCCGTGGAAGGAGTTCGAGCAACTGTGGTTCACTCGATTCATGGTCCGCAACGTCGTGAAGGCGGCCATGAACAAGGTTTACACGAGCTCACAAGGAAGCATGCCAACTCGAGACTGGACGATCAAGTGGCAGAAGATAGTGACCACGCCACGCTTCGATTTGAGTTTTCCAAACCAACGATCCGAGTTCTTCTCGCGATCGTGCGCAGGACTGCGAACGGCACTCGGCAACGAGTACGATTATGCCTCATTCCAGGCTATTCTGGATCGCGCGAACCTAGTCATCCAAACGGATGACAAGGCCGCTAACGAACGGCAGTCCCAGCCGCACTATGTGGCTAAGCAGGGCTATCAACGACCGGCACATAACAATGCCGTGATTTCTGAAGAATCAGTCGATCTGCACGCCGCAGCAGCATCCTCGAGTGATGGAGGAATTATCGCAGCGCTCCCGCCGAAGCGTCCAAAGAGAGTTCGGAAGAACAAGGCGACACAAGCGACGACATCGACGGGAACTAGGCAGCAACCATGGACGGCGTTCAACATAACCAAGGGAGTATTTGATCTTTGTCAACGGTACGGATATTGCCTTTGGTGCAATGGTGTCACTCACTTGACCGCACAATGCCCCGAAAAGGGCAAGGCACGTGTACCCCGTCCAGCAAACTCGGAAAACTAAGTTGCGCAAGGAGAGAGGCGACGTCTCTCCTTACTCCGCCGAAACCGGTTGCCTTGCTAGCAACCGATATCACTACCGGGGAGCATGCGTTAGTCACCGATTCTTGTGCTACGTACGAGGATTATGTCTTCCAGCTGGTACCACCTTTAGACCAGCCTAGCCACGTGCACTTAGATTGCGTATGCGCAGCCTGTACACCGTCGGCAAGTGATCTAGTCAGCTCGCCACTGATTTTTGAGGACTCGACGGCGTGGTCAAGACTTGAGGAGCTTGACCCGCTCACGAGAGAAGACTTCGCTTGGATGCCTCTACCCTCAACCGGAACCTTGCCAAGGCCGCATTGCAATGCCTTGATGGCAAATCTACACTCCTATTTGCACGCTACAGTACCAGCTCCGTTGACGGACGACGGGGTAGCGGTTGTTGATCTCCGCTCCTATCTTGCGAAGATTGACCGCGAGTACGCCACCCAAAGGTAGGCCGAAACCGACGGTTCTGTGCTCTACATCCGCATTCAAATCGGAAAGGCAACCTGTAGTGCCTTGATTGATTGCGGAGCGTCTCACAACTTTATGAGCCAAGCCTTTATGGCCCGCGCAGGCCTTGGCCCGCGCGTTCGAAGGAAGACGCAACCTACGCAAGTTACACTCGCGGACGGCCGCACGCAAAAGTCAATTGACCGATGCGTCGACGACATTCCGGTATACTTTGCGCCACTTGCGTGCGAGCCGGTGTCTTTTGACGTCCTCGACACCAAGTTCAACATGATTCTAGGCATGTCTTGGTTGCGTAGCGCCGATCATCCGGTGAACTTTCATGACCGGACCGTTCACATCCGTNTTCACATCCGTGATCGGAACGGAGTGTTAGTCCCATGTACGGTCGCGACCCCTCATACTTCGATTGCTTGTCACGTGGTTTCCGTTGCGAGAATTCGCGACGCCATAGCTAGGAATGACGTCGAGGAGATGGGCCTTGTATTCTTGCATGCTCTCCCCTCGCCGGACGGACCAGCCGCGTCACCGCCGGACCCACGCATCTCTCACCTCTTGGACGAGTATGGAGACGTCTTCGAGGCTCCCACCGGAACGGTTCCGGACCGGCGCATACGTCACGGGATCACCCTCGAGACTGGCGTTGTCCCTCCACGTGGATGCATTTACCGCATGAGCGAAGAGGAACTCGAGGTGCTTCGCGCACAACTCAACGACCTCCTTGACAAGGGCTGGATTCGCCCTAGTTGTTCGCCTTACGGTGCCCCTGTTCTCTTCGTCCGAAAGAAGAACAAAGATCTACGGTTATGCATTGATTATAGAAAACTTAACGCACAAACCGTAAAGAACGCCGGCCCTCTCCCTCGGATTGATGATCTCCTTGAGCGGTTAGGCGGCGCAACGTACTTCTCAAAGTTGGACTTGAAGTCGGGTTACCACCAGATTGAAGTCCAGCCTCAAGATCGGTACAAAACCGCGTTCAAGACGTGGTACGGGCACTTTGAGTGGGTTGTCATGCCATTTGGCCTCACCAATGCCCCCGCGACTTTCCAAGCAGCTATGATGACTGAGTTTCGCGACTTGCTCAATCGCAGCGTCCTCATCTACCTCGATGACATCTTGGTTTATAGTAGGACGTTGGACAAGCACATCGTACATCTTCGCGCTGTTTTGGATCGTTTGCGACTAGCCAAGTACAAAGCGAACCTCGACAAGTGTGAGTTCGCCAAGCAGGAGCTTGAGTAATTGGGTCACTATGCCACGCCTAAAGGCATTCGTCCCTTAGCGGACAAGATCCAAACCATCGCGGATTGGCCGGAACCCCGTTGCACGACGGACGTACGCTCTTTCATGGGTTTGGCTGGCTATTATCAGCGATTCGTCGAGTCATACTCGAAAGTGGCCGCTCCTTTGTCGAGACTTCAGTCCCCAAAGGTGCCCTTCGAGTTCGACGATGCAGCCCGTGGCGCGTTCACTACGTTGAAGGCAGCGATGCAAGCCGCACCTGCCCTCCGTATATACGACCCCACCCTTCCCACCCAAGTGACTACGAACGCTTCGGGATACGGTATTGGTGCGGTGTTGGAACAGTGTCACGAGGACGGTTGGCATCCGGTCGAGTATTTCTCCCAAAAGGTGTCTCTCGTCAACACTCTCGACGACGCTAGGAAGAAAGAGCTACTCACATTCGTCACCGTTCTCAAACGGTGGCGCCACTTTCTTCTCGGTCGTCAGTGTTTTAAATGGAATACGGACAACAATCCGTTGACCTTCTATAAAACGCAGGATATGGTCACTAGCACGATCGGTCGATGGATGTATTACATCGACCAGGTCGACTTTGACCCGTGCCACATTCCCGGTCCCGCCAATCAAGCTGCGGACGCCCTCTCACGACGGCCCGATTTTTGTGTCATTGTGACCACGACATTCGACCTCGATGACGATCTGCAGCCGCACTTCGTCAAAGGCTACAAGTCCGATCCGACTTACTCTACGCTTTACGCGGAGCTTTCATCGGATCACCCACCGGCTAGCGATTATCGGATTTCCGACGGGTTCCTTCTCCTTCACACGAGAGGAAAGGACTTGTTAGTTGTGCCCCAAGATCGCATCTTACGGACTCGTCTTCTCGGCGAATTCCACGACGCACGACTTTCGGCACACCTTGGCGTAAACCGCACATTAGCACGCCTCGGCCAACGTTTTCACTGGCCCGGCGTCCTTCATGACGTCACGAGGTACATTGAGTCATGTGCAGTTTGCCACCATAACAAGGGTCGATCTCGAGTCCCCTTCGGCGAACTAAAACCGTTGCCGATTCCTCGGGCACCGCGCCTCTCCATTGCTATGGACGTGACAGGCCCGTTCCCCCGCGATYGCCTCGGCCATGACGGTATTCTCACGGTCGTTGACCATTTGAGCAAGTATGCTCGCTTCCTTCCTTGCAATTATCATGTTGCAGCACCTGAGCTCGCACGAGTCTTGCACACCGGTTGGATTACCAACCAGGATGTTCCGGAAGACATAGTGAGCGACCAAGATACTTGCTTCATGTCGACCTTTTGGACTTCCCTTATGGCTGAGTCCGGTACGACAATGAAGCCGAGCTCGGCTCGACACCCTCAGACGGATGGCCAGACAGAGCGAGCACACCAGACTGCTCAGATGATGTTGCGTACGCTCATCCGTCCCGACCAGAAAGATTGGGTTGACCGGCTTTCCCACATTGAGTTCGCCTATAACACTTCGGTGCACCCGACGATCTGTGTCACACAATTCGAGTTACATCATGGTGGAGAGAAAACACGGATCTTCGCTGATCTCCTTTTGCCACAGGCTGCCGACATAGACGTCCCTTGCTCTCCTGCTTCCATTCGGAAGTACCGGGACTTGCTGATCAAAGCCCGCGCGAATATGCAAAAGGCTCAAATCCGCATGCAGCAGCAAGCTAACCGACGTCGACTTCCATGTCCTTTCCGCGAGGGAGACCTTGTTTGGGTCCTCTCCGATGAATTTGCGCTCGCGCAAACTCCTTCCGAAATGGTTCGGACCATGGGAAGTTACTTCTGCCGTTGGAGATGACCCCGCATGTCCTTCCTTTGTGGTCAACATTCCACCGCACCTTCCAGTGCACCGGGTTTTCCACGCGTCGAAGTTGGCCATCTACACGCCACCTTCCGCTGACGAGTTTCCCGGCCGACGATCACAGGATCTGCCTTCTATGGACAAACATCAGGAAGTCGACTGAGTCATCACGCACCGCAAGTATGGCAACAAGCCAATGCAGTTCAAAGTCACATTCAAGCAATGTGCCTGACGACACTCGGTGGATCTCTAGTGCAGACTTGCAGACTTCTGCACCCCTTATCTTCGCCGACTATGAGAAGCGACGCCTTGCCAAGGAAGTAGCTCGTCCCGCTCGACCCACCTCGGTATCGGACAGACAACTCCGCCCTCGCAGGTAGCTCGGTCTTTTAAGAGGGGGAGTGTGTTACATCTTCGACACCACACGGGTCCTGCCGGACCCGACTTAGGTCCAAGGGGACACAGTAGGGCCTAAAGGCCCACACTTGGGGGTACAGCAGGCCGAAAGGCCGCATTTTGGACCAGACCCGACGGGCAGGCCCAAACGACATTACCGTTTGGGCCTGGCGGCGCTCTTGAGGCTGCTGCCTGTCGGTCTGATCTGAACCGACGATCTCGACAGTTCAGGTTATGGCCAGGCCTCGCAGCATTGAGGCCGGCCTCGTTTCCACCGGTACTAAAGATCGGTCCAGCCTCATTGTGAGGCATCGAGCAACTGGACGCTGAGAGAGCGCCAGTTCGTTTCGGTTCTACATCAGGAGCGCCAACGCTATTCTTAGCGCAGCATAGAGGAGCAGCAACATAGAGGAGCAGCAGCAGCGCAACTAGCGCAGCAGCAGCAGCGAGCGAGGAGCCAGACAGCGAGCAGCCATAGCCGACTTCGGCTTCAGGCAGTTGCGGTAAACCAGGTACTCGGGGGTGAGGTCGTCTCCTCCCTCCACCGTCCCTGGCTCCTCTCCTCCTCACCTCTCTCCTCCGCTGTTCTCTTCTTCTTCTTCTTCTTCTTCTTCTTCTTCTTCTTCAGACTTCTTCTTCTTCTTCAGACTACTTCTTCTTCAGATTGGGGACTTGATACTAGTTGGACAGAGATCAGTGTTGGATTTCGGTGGTAGGAGGCTGTGATACTTACCGGAGTCGAGACTTGGAGATTGTTGGGGTTGATACTCGGCGGCATCACAGATTGGACACGGGTTACATTAGGACTCTGTACCTCCGACATTGGTGACTTATTGTCCACGACATTTTGATCTTGTTCGATGACATTTTGGACTACCATATCGGTGACCTACTGGATTCTATCTCGATGGCATCTGGCGCTGCCTACATCTCCCACCTCCTTCGTCTCTCCTCCCACCTTTCATCTATGTATGTGTGTACGGGGTCTGAGCATCGTCTGTGATTGGCTCGACCCCACCATCTCATGATTGTTTGTGTGTGGAGTGATATTTGTGTGAGTCAGTCTATGTGAGTCAGTCCATTTATCAGACTTCCGCTGCATACATGCTCATCCTATATTGGTTGATCTCTTGGTTCTGCCCATACTTGTTGAAGTACTCACAAGTATGCAACAGTAGGCCCGCGACACTTAGAGCAGCGGGGAAAAACACTCAAGTAGCCTGAGTCTAGGGCCTGTCCGGACGATAGCGGAGCCTGCAATGATGTCTTGCTCTGAAAGGGAGGAGGTACCGGTTGCTGGGAGGCCGCTCGGCCTAGGAAGTCACCGCCCAAGAGGCTAGTAGGCCGCTATATCTTCGGGAGGAGCAAGCACCTCCTTCTCATTTGCGGTATGCAAGGATTGGCGACATGCTGCTGGAGCCAAGCGATGGACTTGTGCAGCACTGCTTGGAGGAGAAGAGCAGCTGGGCGCTCAGCCTGGCTACGGCGAGCAGCCAAGCTTGAGAAGGAGAAAGAAGGGGGCGAAGGAGGAGAGTGGCGAGGTACCTACCTGGCTATGGTGGACACCATCTTCATCACCTTGTTGGGCGTTGCATCTGGAAGGCCCCAGTTGGGGTAGTGCCACACCAAGGAAGCTCGAGGCAAAGTCAGGCATCACGGCTTAGTCAGCAGCGACATAGCTGCTTTGGGTTGTCCTTTGGACAGGAGTGCAGCGACATAGCTGCTTTGCGTAGTCCGCCATAGCCTAGGCATGTGAGAGGTGGAAGAAAGGGGGAAGCCATAGCTATGGTGGACCGGGTGTTGTGTCAGCAGTAAGAGGGAACTTCGGATATTGATTTTGGTTCAGCCACTCGTTGCTATTATTATTAGTGGAAGAAGAATAAGATTGGCGAAGTGAAGGAGGAGGAAGAAGGTGGAGAGAGAAGGGGGATTCGTCATTGGTCTTGCTGGTGTACATCTTCTTCTTCTTCTTCTTCTTCTTCTTCTTCTTTTCTTTGGTCTCTATCTCTCTGCAAGTGGTTTCATTTCTTTGGCAATCGGGTGGCATGGTCTTTCATTGTGAATTCGCAATTTGGGAATGACCAAGATCGTAACAATTGGTATTGGAGCGGACTTACTTGCTGGCGAGAGGTGTTAGTAACCCTAAACCTAATTTCAAATTCGGTTGGGGCTAACCTAGTCTCGGATTAGGGTTGGAAGTTAGGGTTAAGAGGGGCAGTGAGGTACGTGGATGCTGCCCCCACCTGGTTAGGTCATGTAGGGTCGACATCAGACCTGACCAGGTTGCTTGTGTAATTGAATGGGGTGGCGAGACACAAAGGAGGCTGATTGGAGTAAGTGAGAGGGAGTAGAGAGTGAGAGGTACTCGCACCTGGAATCTGAACTACAAGAAGACATTGAGTGACTTTTGGGCTTCCCCTCAAGAGGGAGACTTGATCGGTGGCTGCCATATCTGCATAGAAGAGCTGCAAGTTGCTACTTTGGTCTTCAAACATGGACGATGGATCCGACATTGTAACAGGGGTGTAGGGAGGCCCTTTTAGTCATCCTAGGACACTTCATGTAGTGGTAGCTAGGGGTCAGGAGGACCTATGAGAGAGGGGGCTGAGTCGTTATCGATCTTTGGAGGCCGGGCCTCACAGGTAAGTGTCGTGTGACCTGGGTATGCCCGTGGGAGGTTGCTTGGTGCTTTATGGCCTGTTGGGGTGTGCTGGGCTCTCTTCCTCTTCTTTGCGGTCTTGGTTGTGTGTGTGAGCATGTGGATTGCTTTCTCACCTGATGGATGGATGGATGATGTATCTTGGTCTCAATGACATATCTTTCTACAGTGCATTGTCTTTTCACTTATGAACGGCTGTAGGGGTAGGTTCTTGCTGAAAGTTGTCCTTTCCTTTTCAGTACAGTAGAGGCTGGTCCACGACCTACTTGGGACCCTTCGGGACTCAGTGGGACCAGGCCCAATGTGACAGGACCTTTAGGACCCAAATCTGTTGCCGTCAACACATCTCTTTGTCGTGCTGAATCTGGGGGACCACACGGTTAGTAAGGACATTCCTTTCAAGGGGATCTTGACTGATCTTACTGCATGTTCTCACATACTGCCCTGCATCTGGCTCGGCTACCGTCTGCACCCCTCGAAATCTCCATTGTTGCAGTTAGCTTTCTTCGGATGACTTGTTCGTGATACATGTTCCTTGTCAGGTTAGACAAGAGGGGATCTCCAACTAATCTGATCGGGTCCGTTCGTTAAGTCAGTCCTTTCTTTCATTTGTTTTTATTTATTTATTTATTTATTTTTATTCTGCTGCGTGAATGCCATTCTCTAAGTCCAAATGAATTGCCGCTTTGGCTAGGAGTTCTAGCTTCCGCTCTTTGTGATTTACTGTTTTTTTTTTTAATTTGAACTATCTATGTCCCGTATTGAGACACGCGCGCAGAAAGCGGAAAGAGAGAGAAGGGAGAGAGAAGGTAATTCTTTTTAGAGTGTGAGGAGGGGTAAGAGGAGTGTTTGTCCAAACGTGAGCAAACACCGAACCCCTCTTGAGAGATTTACTAATACCCCATCCTCCAGCATGGCAGACATCTCATCCGCACAATGGAAGGTCATGCTGGACGCAGCGGCCGAGAGTGAAAAACCGTTGTTTCATAAACTTTATGAGGACGCAATACACAAAGAGAGGGAGGTAGAGGCAGCAGCGAAAGCCACAAGTATTGCTACACAAGTGGCCCTCCTCGAGGTTCTGGAATCTAGTGATGGTCGGTTCAGAGAGAAGCTAGTTGCTGCTGTAGCAACGTTGGTTCAACCGCGGACCGTGGAAGACCTTGTGTCTCGTGTGACAGCTCTAGAGCATCGGAACCAAGAGCTGCAGGCGGAGATCGTCAGCTTGAAACAAGCCCAACTGGCTGCCCCTCGTCCTCCTAATCCTCGTCCTGCTGCAGTCCCAGTCTCTCACCCTAACACAGTCCTCATGCAGAGAGCAGGTGAAACTGTGACGAGCGCAGGAACCGGTGCCAACTTCTCAAGCGGCAGTGCCAACAGTTCTGCACTGGTCCCAATCCCAAATGCAGGAACATCAACCCAAAACGCCGCAGTTCTTACTGGCGTACAATATGGTGGTCCCATGGTGGACAAGAGGGCGGCCACACTGCCATCCAAGTACGACGGGAAGGGGTACATCACCTCTTGGATCAGCGCCATGCTCTCATACTTCGAGATCATGCGAACACCGCAGGAAGACCGAAGCATGATCATGGGCACAAATATAGAACCCGCCGTACGGAGTTTCATGGAAGTCCAAGTTGTTACTGCAGGTTATGAGAGGATTGACCTGACTGAGTGGCTGAAATTAACTCCTATACGTACTCTTGACGACCTCCTCATCGCGCAATATCAAGATAAGCACGCTGCGCTCAAGGCAAGGCAAGAACTTGAGGCCCTCAAGGGTCAAAAGTGGAGGACTTCCATGCAGGTTTTGGAGCAGCACTTGACTGGTCTGTTCACCACTCCAAACCTAGGATGGACTGACGTGTCTTGCATGGATGTAGTAATGGGAGTGGCCCCTGAAGACTGTCTCCCGACTAGGACTCAAGGACCATACGACCTGGCGTGAGCTAATAACGGATATAGTCAACCTAGAAGCCAATGACCTCGCCAGGAGTGCGAAGACACCAGCTGTAGGTAAAACCTTACGACACAAGCGATACGAAAGCAGCGACCAGCTTGCCCTGCATGAACATCGGGTGGCTGAGGATCAGTCCTACGCGGATGATCTGTCTCTAGATGACGATCTAGAGTCGGACTCCGATAGGGGCTATTCTACACCAACCCTTGAGTCTGACATTAATGAAGAAGAAAAATGTAATGCCTTCAAAAGGACTGCTTCAAGCAAGGGGCCTAACTGTGGTTCGGGGGAACTATAGCACACCTACCCAAGAATGCAAAGATCCCTGAGAAACTGGAGGATGCTTCCACCAAGCCTTGGGAAACCCTCCGCATTAGTCAAAAGGAATGGGAGAGAAGATCCAAATTGCGCGTGTGCTTGCATTGTCAAAAATCTGGGCACACTGTGCAGAAATGTTATCGTCTGCAGGGAAACAGGCAAAGTGCGTAGAAGAGTTATCAGCACTCTCTACAACAAGGGAAGCTGAACAGTCAGCTGCAGGCCCCTCCAAGGAACCTGAATCTGATCAACAACCTGCTCTTGAAGCCCGGACTGATGCTGAATCCAAGGCTGTTGCAGTCCAAGTACTTTACACTGAGCCTTGGGAGGAGACTATAAGGAAAACTTTCATTCTCACATGGAACATTGGTTGCACCTCAAGCAGCAACGCCGTGTTCAAGGGAGTGTGGAACTGATCTTCTTTAAGCTGCTCATTAACCGCCGATACATCCGCATGCTGATTGATAATGGTTCAACGACTAACTTCTTTTCTCCTAACGAGATTCATAAGGTGGGTCTGGGAATGAAGCAAGTGGAATTGCAGAACCCTTGTTAGACCCAGGTAGGCAACCAATAGGTTGTCACCTCAACACATGCTATCAGAGGTGTGCACGTCACCTTTGGCAAGCATCGCACTGTCACACATGAGCTGAACTTCTACATCCTGGACAAGTGTCCTTTCGACGCGGTCATTGGCTTGGGCTGGTTAAAGGCTCATTGTCTAAGGACCACATGGGCGGATACTCAGTTCGTGGTGCGTAATGCAAAGAGGAACGAGCGTACCGTTCTATTGGACGAGACGCGCGAGTCCCCAATGACTCTTTTGAGTGCAAACAATTCTGCAAATCGGTGTGCAGGCGCAAGGAAGCTGAGCATGTGCATATAGCCCTTGTGAAGAACCTCCATGTGCCTTCTACTTTTGCTGCATTTTCTACCTCGGAAAGTAATTCTACTTTTACTATCTCTACTTTTGTTCCATCTACTTCTCTTGTAAAGAATCAGTCTACTTCTGATTCAAGTACTTCGAATTCAGTTGTAATTGCTGAATTCTCAATCTGATTTTCTCTCTCCTGATGAGGATGATCCTTCACCGGAAGTCCCAACAAACATTCGCCGTCTATTAGATCGCTTTCCTGAAGTTTTAGTTGAACCTTGTGGAGTTCCTAAGCGTCCGGTCAAACACAAGATCGAGATAATAGAAGGAAGTGTTCCTCCAAAGGGCTACGTCTACTGTATGGGACAAGGCGAGTTGGAGGAGTTGAGGAGACAAATTGACGATATGATTGATCGTGGATGGATTAGGCCTAGTGAGTCTGAGTTCGGTGCACCTGTCCTGTTTGTGCCAAAGAAAGGAGGCAAACTCCGGATGTGTATCGACTATCGTGGCCTAAATCGGATCACTAAAAAAAATACTTATCCTTTGCCTCGCATAGATGATCTGCTAGATGTGGCAGGTGGGTGCAAGGTGTTCTCCAAGATCGACCTCAAGTCTGGCTACCACTAGATTGAAGTTGTACCGAACGACCAGCATAAACTGCATTCAGAACGCGTGATGGGCTGTACGAATTCATCGTTATGCCCTTCGGTCTTACGAATGCACCGACCACTTTTCAGTGCCTCATGGACAAGGATCTCCGCCATTAGCTCAACAGGTTTGTTGTTGTTTACCTTGACGACATCCTAATTTTTAGCAAGTCCATGGAAGAGCACGTCAAGCACATTGAGAAGGTTTTACAGGTTCTTAAGGAAGCACAACTGCACCTCAACTTAGAGAAATATGAGTTTGGAAGGGACAACATCATCTATCTTGGTCACCGGTTGTCTGCAAACGGCCTTGAGCCGGAGGCACCCAAGGTTGAGGGTATACGAAAATGACCTCAACCGACAAACGTACGCGAACTGCGTATTTTTCTTTGTTTGGCTTCGTATTACCGGAAGTTAATGCGCAAATTTTATGTCAATTTTCACCCACTATCAAGAGTAATCAGCAAAAATGTTACTTATGCGTGGTGTGAGAAATGCGAGACTGCATTCCAAGCCTTGAAAGAGGCTCTGGTAAGTCATTTTGTGCTCCGCATTGCGGATCCCCCTCACATTCGTAGTCACTACAAACGAGAGCCAGTATGGGATTGGCACATTGTTGCAACAAGATGGTGGCGATGGCCTGCGTCCGCTCAAATATTACAGCAAATGCATGCCCAACCACAAGGTAGCTACCTCCATGTACATGCATGAGCTCTATGCCTTGCGAGAGGCGCTCACACATTGGAAGCACTACCTCTTGGGTCACCATTTCAAGGTCTACTTAGATCATCAGACCTTGTAGTGGATCAAAATGCAAACTAATCTTTCCCCGACGTTGACCCGCTGGCTGCATGACATTGATGTCTATAATTTTGACTTGAAACACAAGAAAGGCTGTTATAATCGTGTCGCGGATGCTTTGTCTCGTCACCCTGAGTTTTTGATTTGTCTTGTGGGCTCATATGATCTCCGAAGGAAACTGAAGGAGGATCTGGTCGAACACACTGCCAAGGATTCGGACCTTAGTCCCATCCTTGAGCAGCTCAAGGTTGACCCTAGCAGTCAGCCTGATTTTCTCGATTTATGCGTGTCATCCATTCGCAGGGGCCATGCTAATTTTCTCTGTATCGTTCCAATTTTAACGGATGTCCCGAAGGACGTCAGCCTGATTTTCACGAGTGTGAGGGTTTTATATTCCGCCGATATGGGAAGTTTGATCGTTTGTGTGTACCCAACCATGCGCCTCTTCGGACTCATTTCTTGGATTTGGCACATGGTTCGAGTGGACACTTCGGCTTTGAGAAGACTTATGGAAGTTTTTTGCAGCAGTTTAATGGGCTGAGAGTGAAGGAATCTGCTCATAAATTTATTGTTGAATGTCAAGTCTGTCAAAGAACCAAGGTCCATAGCATAAGACTTATGGCCTGCCGAAACCCCTCCCCATTCTTGATGGGTCCGGTGAGTCGGTCTCTATCGATTTCACGGACATGGGGAAGGTGAGCGAGGGAGGACATTCACAAGTCATGGTCGTCATGGATCGTTTTTCCAAAGTTTTGAATTTGATTCCTCTACCTCCTCATGCACCAACTGAGCTTGTGATCGAAGAATTTCACTAGCAGTACATTCTGCAGTGCGGACCCCCGAAAACTCTTGTGAGTGATTGGGACACCAGGTTCATTAGTGTTGATTGGAAGAACTTCACTTATCAGATCTACCACATTAAACTCAACAAAATTTCTGGTCAACACCCCGAAGTCAACAGATTGGCCGAGGAAATCAACCAGGCTATCATTCAACTACTTCGCGCGTTAATTGTTCCAGATCAGAACACGTGGGACAAGGAGTTACACAAAGTGAAGGTGTTGTACAACAACTCTATTCACTCGGCAACTGGCGTGACACCAAAGCAGCTGCAATATGGTCGGCAGTTGCGCAATCCTCCCTCCTATCTATTCCTCGAACAGTTACCGGGTCTGACGTTCGGCATGCCTGGCTACAATGCCAAGTATGCACGCTTGCTCAAAGCTGCTATCACAACGATGAACAAGCGTCGGCATACCATGGTCAAACATGTTAACAAATCACGCAAAGAAGGGAACTTCGAAGTAGGAAGTTATGTCTGGATCAAAATGTATGAGTATTCTGACGAAGAGAGCGTATCACGAAAGCTTCTTCCACTATACTATGGTCCTTGACAAGTTCTAAAGGTGGTAGGGGATGATTTTGGTCCTTCGTATGTGATTGACGTGCCTCCTCATCAGCACATATATCCGGTCTTTCACGCATCCAAATTGTTTCCACACATAGATGATGAGACTTTTCCCTTTCAAGATCCTATGATACCTCGTCCTTTTTTTTTTTTTTTTTTTTTTTCAAAAA